CTCTGATTGCACCGTTGCGATCAGACAGTCGAGCTCTATCCAACGATATACTTTTCATAATTATTTGTAATACTTTTTTCGACATCATATTTTTGGGTGTTTGACTTTAACAGAGTCAAAATTGGTTTAATTGACCTTTCTCATAAAAGGTTCTCTCAATTAATTCATATCAATTATTGTCATGATTTATTTCAATAAATCATTACAAAGTTCACATCATAATTAATTAATTTATTTATTCTTGATTTGGGTCTGTACTCAGGTTCCCAATCAAGACCACACAAATAGTCCACATATTGGATTTATCTCGATTAGACTTATCCAGATTTTGATATTGGATATTAAAAAATATCGGCCCAAAGCCCAATAAAAATCAAAACAAATTTGTTTAATCGAATAATTATTTAATAATAATTCTAGGGTATGTTTCGGGGCGTTACATTTCTCCCCCCCTTAAAGAAATTTCGTCCTCGAAATTCTTCTAATGGTCAACGTTTAACATTTCGTAGTGATCTCACCTTTATCATGACCGTGTCATGTTCATTTGGTTAAACCATAATTACCTCATTGTCCAAACGGATACGTATTCTCAAACTGTCGATGTTATCAAACTCGTTCTTTCTCCAAGAGATTAATAGGNTGGTGTGGAGTTGAAGACGACGGAGAGCACGACGAAGAGCACGACGAAGACGAAGAGCACGACGAAGACGAAGAACGGAATTGGAGGTTTTTTTTTTCAAAAACGCGTAAGGATAAGGTAGGGTTGGCTAATTTTATCACACTCTTTTGGATCCGTTATTACTAATAACCGATTCAAAAGGTATTTAAATCGGTTATAAGCAATAACCGATCCAAAAGAAGGTCAGCTTTTAAATCGGTTATCCGTGATAACCGATTCAAATACTTTTTGCATCGGTTATTACGGATAACCGATCCAAAAGCTAAGCGATACGCAAATTTTTTTTTGCATTTACATCGTTTGTTTAGCTTAACGATGCAAATGAGGCGATTTATTTGGTCATTTTTGTACTAGTGATGGAGGAAATGGTTGTTTTGGATAGATCTAAAATGAGATCTTATATTACCATAAATATGAGTATTTAGAAGAATTGGATCTGTGCAAGTAACCAGTTCAGTTATCAGTACCGGAAAGATCTTAAACGGTCAAAAGTATGAGTATCCTAAGGAATTGGATCACCACTACATGTCATCTGTATTTGTTTGAATGACTCACCTAATCCTAAGTCATCCGACCATGGTTGTTCACTGATATTTGTTTGAATGACTAACTGGGTCTCAAGTCACCTGGGTCAGTAGGAAACAACTTTACATATAACTACAATCAAACTAAATTAGATCGTATCTAATTTATTAAATATAAATATAAATTGAAATATAGTAGTCTTTCAAACAGCTTTACAATATATTAAAACAGTTTTCTAAATCTTTATAGGACAACTACACAAACATGTTCTGTTAATAAACGTTAGACAATAGAAATTTACAGTTGTGTGAAATAAAAAAAATATAGTTGTTTACATTTTACAAATACTAGCAGTTGTCTTATGCAAACATACTTAGTTGTCTTTGGAGCTGTAGTCTGATTTATAATAATCTGACTACTATGTAAAAAGATAGTTTGAATATTTCTAGGACAACTACAAAAAAGCATAGTGTTATTTAGCATTATACAAGTGAAAGAAACGGTTGTTAAAATACAACAAAATTAGTAGTCTACATTTTAGAAATATAACACAAGATAACAGTTGTCTGATGTTATTTTTGTTTAGTAGTCTTCCATGCAGCTGTCTGATATATCTTTCAACTACTTCTGAAATTAGATGTCTATATTGTTCAACGACAACACCAAGAAATAGGAGTATGAAGTTGAAAACAGCAGTAATATTCATTATACATAGACAACAAAACATCACAGTTGTCTTTAACTCCAGAAAACAGATGTCTTACTCGTACGAGGACAACTTCAAAAACATGTACTCTGAAACATCACAAAATAGGTGTCGTGAGCCGTATTACACAATTGTTTTTAAACAGTAGTCTATAAACATATCAGACAGCTGCTCGGAAGACTACTAAAACTAGCACAGTTAGACTACTAAAAAGAAAAGTTGTCAGCATCTGTTTTTGACGTAGTGCGTCTCTGTCGATTTGTAAGCTAGCATCAGTGTAACCGACCACCTTTAGCTCTTCCTCACCACCGTATACCAGGAATGCATCTTTAGTATTGCAAAGATACTTGAGGATGTTCTTGACCGCTGTCTAGTGTGCTTCTCCTGCACTTCCCTGGTGTAACACCCTAATCTGTCCAGGTCTGCAGCCCCTTTTAGATTAAAGTATTAACTTGGTAATCGTAAAAATTTAAAACATTTCAAACACTTTTATTTATCACAATAATATTTTTCATAATATAAACAGTACGAAGTTTTCAATATTGCGGAAGCTTAACAATCATAATCACAAACATAATTTATTTATGTTCTTTAATTCAAAATCATCACACCCATTCCGACAATCTCGCCTCCGTCTGCCTCCAGGATCACGTCACTTCATTAACCTGCGTGTAGCAAATAAAACATACTACACGCTCAGCGTTGAAGCTGAGTAAGCATATCTAATGCATCGAACATCCATATAAACTGAATCTAAATTCATAATCAAATCATTTGATATCATGCACATAATGTTCAGTTCAGATAATCAATAATTATTAAAAATTATTCATCATGCATTATTCAACATTTATATTCACATTCAATGTTCATCAGTCATTCATAATAATTGCAATATTCAATTCAATATTCATCATTCAATATTTACTCATATTCAATATTCAATATTCAA